ATATTTTTAGTTGTCCAGATCATTTCTTTCTATTTTTTTAGTAGAGACGGGGTCTCGCTCTTGCTCAGGCTGGTCTCGAACTCCTGACCTTGAGCCATCCACCCGCCTCGGCCTCCCAGAGTGCTAGGATTACAGGCGTGAGCCACCGCGCCCGGCCTAAAATACTTACTTGAAACTTATTTCCCTCAAGGTTTAACAATGAAATATAAGTGATAGGTATGTGTTATCATTAGTATAGTTAGTTAATTTAAGCCAATTAGATGTTAAAATGCTTTGTGTTTTATTAGGATCCCCAGAGTGGATCCCCAGTATGATTTAAAATGCAAATTGAGTTTAGATAAAGCCATTCAGTATTTTGGAGCTGTTTACTAAAAATATAAATCTAGACTTCTGTATGTATAATTTGCAGTTAGACTTAATTGAAGCATACTCACAAGGGTTTTGATAACAATATTCAATTAATTGATTGTTGCTAAGATTAATTGCAAAATAAAAAATGTGAAATAAAAAGCGTCTCTGATTATTTAGGGGGCAGAGGATGGGAGAGAGCATGTATAGCAGAATAATACTCCCCCAAAGATGTCCCTGTCCTAATCCGCAGAACAGATGAATATGTCAGTTTACAAGGCCAAGGGGAATTAAGGCTGTAGATGTAATTAAGGATGCAAATCAGCTGATGGTAGAATAGGGCAATTAGCCTAGATTATCGAAGTGGGCTCCATGTAATCGTGGGTGTCCTTTAAAGTGGAAGAGGGAAAACCGGAGAGATGGTAGCCTGGGAAGGGCTTGGCCCTGGCCTGACGTTGCTGGCTTTGAAGATGGAAGGAGAAGGGCCATGAACCACGGAAAGTGCGTGGCCCCTAGAAGCTGGAAAAGGAAAGGAAACTGGCCCTCCTGTAGAGCCTCCAAGAGGAATACAGCCCTGTTAACACCTTGATTTTAGTTCATTGAGAACTATGTCAGACTTCTGACTGCCTGAACTGTGAGATAATAAATTTGTATTGTCTATGGCACTAAGTTTTTAGTAATTTGTTACAGTAACAACAGAAAACTAATCCAGAACATAAACATGAGAAGTTGGGGCAGAAGGTTACACCAGGGTCATAACAGTTAGAACTAATCTGAGAGATGTTCTCGGGAGGACTGACACTTGATGACTTATTGAATACAGGGAGCAAAAGACTGAAGGACTCAAAATGGCTTCCACATTGGCCTCTGGATGACTGAGGAAATAGTCTACAGAAAGAAATGGGGAAGGAGAAAAAGGCATTATATGTAGAACTACGTTATATGTGGTTATTGAAAGGAATTTAGAAGTCACCACGCTGCTAAAATCCAGAGCCAGAGCTAAAAGCCAGTCTCCCCACCCTGCATACCTATCCCAGGGCTCATACCCATGTCACATTCTGTTGGTATCCAGTTGAATTAGTCCAAGACATGAAAATGTTTCTTGAGTGGGATGCAAAATTGAAAAGGGAATTGCTCCTTGGTGTGCAGGGAGTGGCTCATATAAGGCTGGAAACTATTTCATATTGGAAATCTTAGCAAACGGGTTTGTTTTCCACATTTGAGAAGAAATGAATGTTCTGTGTCTTGGGATAAAGGAGGGCAGGCATAACATCCCAGGGTAATATCATACCATTTTATTAGCTGGGTGTCAACACTTTCTTGAAGTTGTTGTTGACCTGAGAAGTTATTCTCTAGCTGATATTGGATTCTTAAGACTGGGATAATCATAATAGTATTTTTTAGTTTGTATAGCACTTGCAATTTGCCAAGAATTTTTCTCATACATTACTTTGAATTCACAAGAAGGAGGTTCAGGGGTACAGAGTTAATTTTTACATTGGCAGATTTGACCCCTTTGCCTGGGAGAACGTCAGCTTGTACAAGATTAGTAAATTAGTATTATCTTAGAAGATGATTACACACTGCTTTCTTAAATATATATGTGTATATATACACACAGACCTCTACCTATACATGTATAATTGAGGCAAAACTCCAATTGAATAAACATAATTGAAGAAGTTACTCTGGGAGGCCGAGGCGGGAGGATTGCCTGAGCTCAGGAGTTCGAGACCAGCCTGAGCAAGAGCGAGACTCCGTCTCTACTATAAATAGAAATAAATTAGCCAAACAACTAAAAATAGAAAAAAAAAAAATTAGCTGGGCATGGCGCCACGTGCCTGTAGTTCCAGCTACCCGGGAGGCTGAGGCAGGAGGATCTCTTGAGCCCAGGAGTTTGAGGTTGCTGTGAGCTAGGCTGACACCACAGCACTCTAGCCCAGGCAACAGAGTGAGACTCTGTCTAAAAAAAAAAAAGAAAGAAAAAGTTATATATGACTAATTGAGTGAAGTTAGCCATGACTGCCTCTGGGTATTATATTT